AGTTTTAATATAAATATAATATAATTTTAAAGTGAGAAAATCCACCTCAAAACGTAATCAGTGCAGTCAGTTCATTCAGATTATCATCCTGCCTTCCAATATTATTTCTGTCGGAGCTGCTCAGACCCCCACATACCAGCGGTACTCTGACAGTAGGAATCCCTTCATCAGCAGCCTCTGGCGGGTCGCCTCGTCGCGGTTCACTGCGGCGGCTGGTAGCTGTTTTTCATCTAAATAATCCGATCTGCAGGCACCAGGATAATAAACGCGAACATATTCTGCCGGCAGATTTCTGCATTTTTAGTTAATTCATGCGTCAATAAACTGTTTCAGAGGAGTGATCACAGCGCTCTGTATCATCTGCGATGTGTCTTTCTCTCTGTCAGCTCCCAGTTCAGCTTCTTTGATTGGTTGACGCAGTGCGTCGAGCAGCAAAAATTCAATTTTTCCATCTCGAGCAGCAGCGCGTTTGCGGCGCGCCATGCACGTCAGATGCTTAAACGCGCCCGACGCGCTGCTCCTGCTGCTCAAAACGCGCCGCGGGACCTTTTGCTGTGCCTTGACGCGCGTCAACCATTGACTTTGCATGTAAACTCGCTGCTTCTGTCGTGCCTGCTGCGTCCGGTGTGAACGCAGCATTAGGAAAATGGAGTCGTTTGGGTTCTCTGTTGGCCTGCATTACCTGATACCCGTCTATGTAAGGGGGGGGTTGGGGGTAGTTAGAGGGAATTGGTGGCCTGGTTGAACAGGCTATTTCTGACATTTTGAACTGACAAAAACGTCCTGGTTTTTTCAAACTTGAAAAAGTCCAGAGGATTGCTTTTTAACTTTTGACCTGAATGACTGAGAATCCTCACCAGCAAACATTATGTCAGAATATCTCTGTTTCTTTTCTTCAACACAAACGTTTTAGTAGCCGTCAGCTATCCTGGTACCAACCTTCAGGTTTGCTTTGAGCAAGAATGGTGACGTCTTCTCCTTTAGGGATTTCTAGGAGGAAGAGGACGGCGTCTTCCCGCACCATCCCTCTGAAGTCTACACTGTTGACCTGAAATAGACGACATTACACATCAATGGGTTCATTTCCATATTGATAAACTACTTATCAGCAAAAGTTGCATTTCAAGTATTCAACTTTTCCTCGTCCCTCTACTACATCTATTCCATTTGTAGATTAGAAACGAGGAGCTGAGTTTGGTACCTTTACGATCTGATCTCCTTTGCGCAGACCCTCCTGCTCGGCTGGACTGTCCTCCTGAACGCCAGCGATGAAGATGCCGACGTCATTGCCTCCCGCCAGCCTCAGGCCCACGCTGTCGCCCTTCTTGAAACGAACCATCACCGTGTTCGGCCTTAGTTACCAAAGAAACAGATTAGTTAAACCAATGGTCTCTTTAACTTTTCTTCACTCATATTAGTGAACCACTTACCCGTAGACTTCCTGATCCTCCAAGCTGGGCTTTAGAGGCACCTTTGGGGGAGCCTGAACCCTCGGGGGAACCAGAACCCTTGGGCTGACCGCTGCCGCTGAAAAGATTCAATCAAACAATTAGGTTTGCTACATCTCGCCATACTTGGCTTGTTTTAACGTCTTTAGGGGCAGCATGAAGCTTACCTGGCGGCGTCTCGGATCGAGGTTCGTCCCTCTCTGGAGGTAGAGGGGATGAGTCTTCCCGTCTATCCAGACCTTTGAAAGGTGTTGGCATGGCGCCCATTTTCGCCAGCCTGTTAGAAGGCTCCTCTCTGATAACAAAAACTTACAGTTGGGAGCAGGAAATGTTTCTACTCTTGAACTCAAAAACATCTTAGGAGTGCCACAAGGTCGTGTTCTCGGTCCCAAAAAAACCCCCCAAAAAATCTGGGACAAATTTATTCATGGGGTACAAAAATTAAAAAACGGTTAGAGTCCAGCAATGTGACCCTAAAAATCCCAGGTCACTTCAGCAGAGTCCAAGAGTGAATTGTAAGGTAACAGAGCTCCCAAATAAAGAAAACTAAACACTTTAAATAAAACAAACAGGTGTTTTATCAACATATCATTTTAAAGGGGTAGGCAAATGACAGTTCCTGAGGACTGCTATCCTGCAGCTTTTATATTCGTCTTTAGTCAAAACACCTGAATCAAATGGCTGAATTACCTCCTCAGTATGTTTTCTGTTTCTGTAGTCCTCTCAATCATCTTATTACCTGATTCAGGTGTGTTGGACAAAGGACACCTCCTAAATTTGCAGGATAGCAGCCCTCAGGAACTGGAATTGCCCACCAATGGTTTAATGCTTATTCAATTAGACAGCTGCAGCACTTTTAACTCCTGCTTCTGGTTCTCTTTTTGCTTTGTGGTTTAAGGCTACGTTCGCACTGCAGGACTTAATGCTCCATTCCGATTTCTTTGCGTTGCCGTTCATATTTCCAAATAAATGCGCTTGTCTGTGATCTCCTGTGTGAACTGAAGTCATTCAACGCAAGTGTCCCGCATGCGCAGTAGAGGACGCGATGACACCACAAGCGAGCGTGCTCTGTGTTTAAGGAAGTAAACATGGATGGTATTGCTGGAGCGCATCTAGCGATCTTTCCCAACCATAAAAACTCAATCTTTTCAAGATGGTTAAACATAAATACTGCTCTCCGCATCATCGTCCGCCATGGTTGTTTTTCTTGCCGCTTCTTCATACCAAGACCCAGAATAGTGACCTTTTTCATGTATTAATGAGGTTCAGGTCGGATGAATGCGACCTGGCTGTTCAGACACAGGTTGCATTTGAAAAGATCAGATTCATGACCACATAGCCAAGTGTCCTGGGTGGCATTGGAAAAAAATCGGATCTGTGATGTTCAGACTGCCATGAAAAGATCAGATCCAGGTCGCATATGGGCCAAAAAAAAAAAAAAGTCTGATTTGAGTCACTTCAGGCTGCAGTGTGAACGTAGCCAAAGTGATTGGTCAAGTGTCAGCTATGGTGGTTCTAGAAAATGTTCATGGAGGCGCCAGGGAGGGTCCAATGTGCACTGAAAGGGTGGGGGCAGAAAAATGATAAAAGAAAATAACGCACTATATCATTTATATTTTCAAAACATACCACTGAAAACAGACTAGATTTTCTGGAGCTCCATGATGATAAGTCTACACGCACATATATATGTGCTGTTTAAATTAAACATTTAATGGGTTGAGCAGTTGATCATCTTTAATTACGCAGAAGACTCCTAGATAACTGCAGAAACAAACTGTACCTCCATAAAACCTAAACATGCATTCGTCCTCTTTATTTTATGTCGCCGTGAATAATTAGTTGCAGTATTTTTGTTGTCGGTTTTTGGTTAATATGTTTCAAAGGAGGACATTTAGCATGATTATATCACTGTTGCCACCTTCTGGTTTAGAGGAGAACTGCTTCTTCCAGAGGCAGTGAATTCTCTTAAAGGTCTCAGATATATATAGACCAGGGTTTCCGGTAGATGTAATTTATCATAAAAACATGCAACATGTTCAGAATGAAAATCATTTAAAGAAATCGATTTTTAATAAATATTA